TGCAATTGGCCTATAACAAAAAACCCCCCAAAAAAAAAAAAAAAAAAAAAAAAAATCACTGTCTGGGCCAGTAGTGTGGTGGTTAAGGCACTGGATCCCACAAGGCCAATGCCATGCTCTGAATTCTAGACCCAGTGGCCTGAAAAACATGCCAGGCACATGTGCATGCATGCTCAGAATTCCAGGAGGAGAATGGAGGAAAGGGGACTTTAGCATGGCCATCCCCCTTGGGTCTCCTGATCCAGTACAGAGACAGCCACTGTATGCAAACACAACTTTTACAAAGCCATTCCCACCCTCAAACCTGTTAAAGGATGCCCAGACCTTGGAACGGGTTTTACTGAACTTCTTGATTTTGGCTATATCCTCAGCAGAGAATGAAGGCTGAACATCCTTGCTCATTTGCTTCACATTGCAGGCAATCAGAACAGTCCTGGGACAAAGAGGAGAGGAGAGTAAGAGGAAGCCTGCTCTAGTCAATCCCTAACATCAGCAGCTAGTATCTACACAGCAGTAAGCCTTTTTAGACTATTAAACTAGACCAGCCAAATGGGAGGGGAGTTGAACAACTGATTCTCTCTGTCCATAACCTACATACACTGATCACGCCCCACCTCTGGAAAGTACTGATTTCCTACTGACCCACAGCACTTCAGAGAGTAGTATATATGAGAAAGATTGGGAATGACTTGAAAAACTCCCAGGTAAGCTATGGGGTTGAAACTGTGTCACGAATAATTTCCACTTTTGGCATTAGATGAAAAGTATATCCAGCTTTATCTGATAAAAAAGAGCTATCAGAGCACCTCATCTCTCAGCCAGGTAGAATGCTCCACCTATCAGAAATAACTCTCTGACTATAGCGAACTAGAAAAAGAGTACTACCAGAAATGGAAGCTACCAACAATATTCTAAATAACCTCATAGCAGACCCTTTACCTGAAATTCCCTGAGGTGTAGCCTCCCTTTTTTCCAGGAAGGCAACGATAAGTCCCCACCACCTGGACTCGATCACCAGGCTTCACTTTATCTACGAGATCATCATCCAGAATAACATCCACAGAGCGGGGAAGCTGGCCAGCTGGGGCTTTCTCTGGCATCTCCTGAATGGTGATTATCTGGTGGTCCTTATAGACAGAAAGGCCATATTCTGTCTCAAGGGGATTGTTCTCTTCATCCTGAAAAAGACACAGAAAATAGTTATCTGTCCTGTCTTAAAAACACCACTGTCTGGGACTAGCAGTTGGCATAATGGCTATGTTGCTGGACTTCCATGTAGTCAACTATGGTTCGAGTCCTGGACCCGGTGGCTTAAACTCACACCCGGCGCCATGTGCATGCATGCCCAAGATCCCGAGAGAATGGAAGAGAAGGGATTGCGGCATGGCCATACTCCCTGGGGGGTGACGTCTCACTGTCTCTGCGTTTCTGGCAAGTACATGTGCCTATAGCAAAAAACTCTCCAAAAAAAAAAAAAAAAAAAAAAAAAAAATCACTGTCTGGGCCAGTAGTGTGGTGGTTAAGGCACTGGATCCCACAAGGCCAATGCCATGCTCTGAATTCTAGACCCAGTGGCCTGAAAAACATGCCAGGCACATGTGCATGCATGCTCAGAATTCCAGGAGGAGAATGGAGGAAAGGGGACTTTAGCATGGCCATCCCCCTTGGGGATGCTTTCTCCTTTCCTTCTGTCTCTCTCTGATGAATATACACACCCTATGACAATAATTTTTTAAGATGATTTTTGCTATAGGGCATGTGCACTCGCCAGAAAGACACACACAGAGAGAGAGAGAGAGAAAGAGACAGAAAGTGAGAAATCACCCCCATGGAGATGGCCATGCCACAATCTCTTCTCCTCCATTCTCCTCTTAGGATATTTTTAAAATAATTATTTTATTTAACTTTATTTATTTATTTTAATTTGACCAGAGAGGGCAGAGTAAGAGAGAAAGACTGACCGAGAACAAGAAAGCAAGCCACCAGGTCCAGTACTTGAACTGTAGTTGGCCACATGGGAGTCCAGTGTCCTTAACCACCGTGCCACCTGCTGGTCGCTCCCCTGGATTTTGGGCACGCATGCACATGTGCTTGGTGTGAATTTTAAGCCACTGGGCACAGGACTCAAACCACAATCAACTACATGGGAGTCAAGCAACATAACCATTATGCCATCTGCTGGTCCCAAATAAATCTTTAAAAAAAAACAAAACAAAAAAAAAAAAACACTCTCATCTGTTATAAGAAACAAATATAATTCAAAGATGACCTAAAAAATTTAGTATGCAGAAACAAAAAAAGACAAATATCTCCTCTAGCTTTTCCACCCCTCACTCTGTTCTCATAACAAAACATTCAATGGAACGGGCAACCCATAGTCTAAACAGGCCATGATTATATTAATATCTAAATTAAGAATCTTATTTCCCCTACTAAAGCTGAATTTATGATTACACTCTGAAGCAGATTTTCTTGTCCTGAGTAATACTCAATAGAAAGGTTTACCTAAACCCATGCATTACCAATGTTCAGCTACATTATTCCTAACAACCAAAAACTAGAAAGTACCCATATGTCATCAACAGTAGAATGGTAAATCAATGTGGTGTATTCACACAAATGACTACTACACAGATAGAAACATATGAAACATACCTATATACAACAGGGATGAATATCACGAAATGCAATGATGAGCCAAAAAAGCCCAACACTGAAGGGGTTTAATTAAAATAGAAAAACAGGCAAAATAATCTATGCTTTTAGACATCAGAGAATTATTCAGATAGTGGTTACCCTTGGGCAAACAGGGCTTTAAGAGGACTTCTGATGCTAGAAAGGTTGTTTTCTAGTTTGGATATTAGTTATACAAGTATATTCAGTGTGTAAAAATTTATCAAGTTACACTCTAATGTAAGTTTCCCTATATGAGTACTAAACTTAAATAAAAATACTTTGGGGGTAAAACAGGGACACATCAATGAAACGCAATGCTTTGAGAGGCTGACCCACATGGACAGGTTCCAGATTCACATCCAGAGACCTCCCTGAGTATACAAGGCACACAACTGCCCATGATCTAGGGCTTGTTGAGAGTGGGAGTAGATCAAAGCTTAAGAACCCTGTTAGGGGTGTTGGTCTCTGTTAGGGACCAGCAGATGGCATAATGGTGACATCACTGGAATCCCAGACCCAGTAGCTTAAAATTCATGCCAGGCATGTGTGTGTGTGTGCATGCATGTGTGCCCAAAAACCCAAGAGCAGAATGGAGAAGGGACTGCATGTAGCATAGCCATCCCTCTCCCCAGGGGTTGATCTTTCATTTTCTGTTTGTGTGTGTGTCTCTCTCTGGTGAGAACACACACCCTATACCAAAAATATCCCTCTCAAAAAAAGAAAAAGAAATTTTTTAAAACAAAGGTTTTACTTCCTTGATATTTTAATTTTCTAAAAACAGCACAGCTATTACTTATTGAGTGCCAAGTACTATGCTATTTAATGAAATTACCTCATGTAAGTATCACAGCAACATTTTTTTTTTGAGAGAGATTTTTGCTATAGGGCGTGTGCACTTGCTAGAGAGAGACAGAGAGACACCCCCAGGGGGAGGGGGCCACAACAACTTTCTAAAGCAGGTATTTTTCATACTTCACAGACAAGGAGCTGAGATTAGAAGAGGTTAAATAAGTTCCTCAAGGCCATACAGTAAATAACAGATATAGGACTTTATACAGATATAATCCCAAAGCCTATAGTCCTAAGCATCCTACTAGCCAATCTCCCAGAGACTTGGTCCAAGGTATTTCAGTTCTCAAAGAAAAAAGCTTGGCCACAGTAATCAGTAGAAGGAACACTTCCCGACAAAGAAATTCTAAAAAGTAGAGACCTTAATGAAAAAGAGAACAGGAAACTTAGAAAATGCACAGGCAGGTCAACCCTAAAGCCTAGTGGTAAATGGAACTGAATCCCGTCATCATCATCATTATTTTAAAACTAACTATTCAATTCTTTTTTTATCATTATTATTATTTTTTCATTTGCTACAGGGCATGCATATGCACCAAAGAGAGAAAGAGTGGTGGGGGGAAGGGGGCCAGGGAGCAAGAAAAGCAAGTCACCAGGTCCAGGACTTGAACCACAATTAGCTACATGGAAGTCTAGCACCTTAACCATCACACCACCTGCTGGCCTCTCTCAGTCCCATTATAATCCTGGTCTCTGTGTGAGTACGTATGTGCATGCTAACAATTCTAACAGGATGAAAAAAATGGACAAGGGATTGTAGTGTGGGTATGCCCCATTAAGAGGAGTGGAGGTTGTCTCTCTAAGGCAAGCACACATGCTCTCAAAGTTAAAACAAAACAAAACAAACAAAAAAAGGAGGTGGGGAGAGGGTCAACTGGTGGCATGGTAGCTAAGGCACTGGATGCCCACAGCGCTGACTGTGGTTCAAGTCCCAGTCTTGGAGACTTGAAAAATCATATCGGGTATGTGTGCATATCTAAAATCCCAAGAGGAGAATAGAGGAGAAGGGATTGTGCTGTAACCATCCTCTGGGGGGAGCAGGGGAACTTCCTCCCTCTCCCTTTCTATGTCTCTGTCTCTCTCTCTCTCCTGTAAGCACATGCACCCTATGGCAAAACCTAAAAAATAAAGAAACAAATAAGGAAAGAAGAAATCCAACTGCAGTCGCACTCCCTGGTAAGATGCTGTGATCCACAGGCTGCAATCACAAGGGAGTGTTTGACTCTTGTCCTGCCATCCTGGCCCAACCTAAAGGCCAGGGATGGTGGCCATGTGCCTATAATTCTAGCAACCCAGGAGGCTAAGGCAGGAGGAGCCAGAGCTCAAGGCTGGCCTGCGCAACCAAGTGAGTTCCTGTCTTAAAGAGCAGGGCACGGTGGGACACACTGTGGTCCTGGCTGGAAAGCTGAAGCAGGAGGATCAAGATAAAACAAAACACAGAAGTCAGTGCAATCAACTTGAATTAATCCTTACAGCTGTCACTACCTAGGACCATAAGCAAGTCACTTAACTTTTCCAAATCTTCATAGACAAAATAAATCTAAAGTATGTATCAGTTATAATTTTAAGATATTCACTCTTGCTTTAGTTGTTTACATGTTTGATTTCCACACCAGCTAATAAGATTAAAGACAAGAATAGGGTCTTAATTTATACATCTCTGTCCTCCACAGTGCTTAGATACAAAATCTCTCAATTAAACTTTGATTGTAGGGGTATGTTTTTAGAATTAGTTCAGACATCAAGTAATCAATATTAATGATTTTGTGTCTTATTAAGAAAGCCCTACATTGTCCTCAATTCAGATCCATTTAAAAACTAAGAACAGGGGACCAGCAGTTAGCATAATGGCTGTTGCTGGACTTCCATGTAGTCGACTGTGGTATGAGTCCCAGACCCGGTGGCTTAAACTCACGCTGGGCACATGTGCGTGCATGCCCAAGATACCAAGAGGAGAATGGAGGAGAAGGGATTGCCGCGTGGCCATCCTTCCTGGGGAGTGATTTCTTGCTTTCTGTCTCTGTCTTTCTGGTGAGTGCACACGCCCTATGGCAAAAACCTCTCCAAAAAAAGAAAAAACAAAAACAACTAAGAACAAGCAAAATTCTTTTTTATGGCAGCCTATTCTCAAACACACAGTGAAAGTGCAAAGATCACAAAACAACATTATGGCAAAGTATTTTCTATTTTACTTTTAAAAAGCAGATTATGGGACCAGTAGGTGGCATGGTGGTTAAGGGCGCTGGATTCCCACATGGCTGAGCGCAGTTCAAGCATTGGACCTGGCAGCTTGCTCTCTCACTTTCTCTCTCTCTTTCTCTCTCTGCCTTATCAAACCAATAATAATAATAATAATAATAATAAAGTTAAGTAAAAATTTTTTTAAAAAAAGCAGATTATAAAATTATATAACTTTGCTAAAAAATCTATGCAGATTAAATGACTTTTTCTTCTTGCAACCATTCCACAATTTTCCAAATTTCCTGAAGTAAATATTTACTCTTTTTTCAAAAAATAAGAACTGAGCTTTCCACATGAAACTCTAACCAGCAATCAATATTTCCTTTGGATTAATATTTACTTTTCATTCAATCTACTTCTAGAAAGAAAGAAAATTTTCAAGTATTATATACTTGAATTAAAACAAGTATTTTACTTCAACCCCCCAAAAAGCCCAATCGAGCCATCCTCCTCACCTTGGTGGGGTAAACAGAGCTGGAGGGAAAGGCCATTAGGGTAGTGAGATCAGAATAACGTCGCTCTATGGTCTTCTTGGTAGCAGGACAGTAGTGGACACTGCGGACAACTTTGGGCCGAACCAGAGAGCCTAGGAATTGAAGACACACATATAATCCCACCTCATCCAGACAGAGATAGACGTGGGATCAAAACCCAAGTAAGATTATCATAATTCCAAATATTGTTCTTCCAACTGGGTTATGCTATTTCAATACCACCTGTTATTTATTCACTTTATATTTACATACAGAACATCACCATGTCCATATAAAATTACAAGTACCACTGATCTCCCAAGATCCTGTGAGGAGAATGGAGGAAAAGAGATTGTGGCATGGCCATCCCCATGGGGGGTAGTGATTTCTCACTTTCTGTCTGTCTCTCCAGCAAGTGTACATACACCCTATAGCAAAAATTTCTCTCTAAAAAAAAAAAAAAAAAAATGAAAAAAAAGTACCACTGATCTCAACTAAAAAAAGTAGAGGTTCATGGCTGGAATGAACAGACTGCCAGGAGATAAAATTTCCAGAGTTCTTGGCAGAATTCCTCATTCTGCAAGCACAAGGGTTCACTCAAGGACCTCCTAATTATTGTGCATACTCTGAGTTTTACCCAATAATTTCAATACTTTGCCTTTCTGAAGCCACATGCTACCCAAATCTATTTTGCTTCTCCTGCTTCCCAGCTTCCCATCTATCCCATCTCCATTTCCTTAGTGCTCCCCTTTACCCACTCACATTTAGTGACAATGCCCTCCACACAGACTACACAGCTGAGGAAGCAGGAAGTAAGAGTCCGGGGGGAGACGTGCTTGGAGCCAAAGCTGCCCTCCAATCCAATGTAGAATTCCTCATACTGTTTGGCATAAGTAGCATCAATGGAGGCCACAAAATCCTTTAAGGCCCGCTGGAAGGCAACTAGTTCTTCAAAAGCATTGCTCAGCAGGCTACATGTCAGAAAGAGACAGAATAATTAGGCAGATAGAGCAAAATTCAAAAAAGCTGACCCTTAAAATGAAGAAGACATTTTTACAACAAGGGTAAACAGAGAAAATTCAGTTCCTACATTCTCCTGACAGCCTGCAAAACTCAGTAAAACATATCAGAACTGAGAATCAACTAAAATTTAACTTATCGAAGACGTAACAATGATAATGAGCTAAGCATTAGAAGGATGAATATTTAAGGAAAACTTCCGCCACCCAATTTTGTTGGGGGGTTGGGCTGTAGAGGCAAGGAGGGCTTCTAGGTCAATCCTATTTCATCGAGGTCCTCTCCTGGGATGCCTGTTCCAATCCAAGCAAGAGAGGGGAGTCATTGTCATTTTAGAGCCAGGAAATCCTGGTCACTCACCGGTTAGCCCTTTTCTCGTTTTTCCTGCGCAGGTCATTCACATTGACGATCAGACGGTATTGGTTATCGCTGATCAGCTCTCGAACTTTGCTCTGATAAATTCCCTGGTCTTCCTGCAAAACACCCACCACATATTGCAAGAGACTCAAATTCAAAAATATGTTTCCAAACAGAAGCTCTCTCAGTAGATAATTAAGTCAGTCTCTGCAGCATAACTGATCAGTCCCAAGTACACATTCATCAATGTCTCCCAATTTTCTCCAAATATCTGCTACACGGAGACTAAGAGTTATGATGACTTCCCATATCATCAACAGCTTTCCCATGTGCTGTCATTTCTCAACATCAACTGAGTAATTAAAATGAACTCTCACTGTCTAGCAAAATACCAAGTACACCTTAAATATACAAAATTAAAATATAAACAGTATCTTTAAATTCACACTAAATCAGCTCTTCATTTACAACTTACATGCAGAATATTATTTTATTTCCCCAATAATCTATACAGTACAGAAAAGGCTCTCAAATTCAGAACTAAAGGAGGAGACATGAAGCTATTTGTTAACATCACCAACCCTTCACCAAATCTGACCAGAAAGTGCAGGTGGCTAAATGAATATCCCTAATTACTGCCACCCCAGTCTTCATCAGTGGTGGAAGAAGTCTCAGAACTGTTTGTCTCAGTTGGCCATTTAAGTTTACAGTAAAAGACTGGTTAATGATAACAATGCATCATAAAACCTTCATATGGGAAGGAAAATGTTTTGTGGATCATTTTGTTATTTTGTATGTAGCAATTTAACTTGACCCAAAATCTGTCACAGAATTTTGAGACCCATTGAAACAAAGTTTCATGAGAAAAAACTTTTTTAAAAAAAGATGCTTTATCAACATTCCATGGCTTCGTATATTAGGTTGCACATTAAGACCCTCCTTACCTGCATACAAGTCACTTTTTAATCTGCATTTCATTAGGCATTGAAAAGAAAGCAGCTACATCAGGCAGTCTTTCCCTCCGGGGAGGAAGTCACTAAAATCTGAGCACCCTGCCGTGAAGCCGGTCTCTACCGCCCACAACAGTTCCTCCTACCCGTATTCAGGTGACTGGTGAGGGGGAGGGCGGACACTGCCATTCAGTCGCACCCAATGGAAGCCAGTCGCCTTTCGCGCGCCCGGGCTGGCACTTGTACTTCGGAGATGGCTCTCTGCGAGTCCACCTACAGAACGGCAGTGACCCACTGCAGCGCTGGGGGTTAAGAGGTCGCGGGTCGGCTCAGCCACTGCACAGCTGGAGGCCGGGAGGTCAGGCTGCCGGCGGTGCTCGTCCAACACCACGGTGCCAGCCATGCCCGCTACCCAGGACTGCCTCCTCCAAAGCCGCACCGAGAGTCGGATGACTCCGCCCCGGCGCGAAAACTTCCGAACTTTTCCCGCCACCAAACGATACCTCGAGGAAGAGGCGGGGACGCCGAGAGCCGAGCACATTCTGATTGGCTAAGCCCTCTGAGCGAGACTAGCCAGCGTCCAATCGAGAGCTGCTGCTTCCTCAGGCTTTCCGCCCGGCGCTTCGCGGTGGCGGGAAAAGTACCTGCGGAGGGGGGCGCTGTTTCTCCCGCCCTCGTTCCGCTCCAGCCGACCGGAGCACTAGCCGAGGGAGCCCAGAGGCTCGCGAGCCGGTCTTCCCGCCGCTCAGGGAGCGGGTCGGAGAAACAGGCAAGCGCAGCATATTGGGAGTTGTAGTCTTTCCCCTCTCCCGGATGTTTTGTAGGATTTTTTTCAAACGATAGTTTCCTGAAGAGCTGCGAAGTGAGCCTATTCAGCCCGGAGGGAGAGCTTTGCTTTTAGTGAAAGTAGAGTAAATGTCAAAGAACGGGGATTTATGACGTAGGGAGATGAAACATAAAAGCAAATCTTTTAAAACTATGTCCCAAACAGGGCCCTCTAGGTGGTGTGGTTGTAACGGGGTTAGATCTTACATGACTGTCTGTGATATTCGAGTCCTGAACTTGGATTGAAAAACACCCCAGTGGGTGATCGTACCCAAAATCCGGAGAAAAGAATGGAAGAGAAGGCATTGCGAGTACTCATTACCCTCGAGGGGTGCTCTCTCTCTACCCTCCCCCGACACCCTCTCTCTGTCGCACACCTTCAATAGCAAATGAAATAATAATAATAATTAAAAACTAATTTTAAAAAACTGTTCAAAACAGAGCTGCTCTCAAGCGGCAACTACAGGAAAGGAATGTATTCTGACAATCATTGAATTAAAAGTAAAATATCATTTTAGGGAAAGGTTGTTTCATATAAGGCCCGTTTGCTATCAGAATACTATTGCCAGAGATACCCCATTTTTAAGGGGGTAGCAGAGTAGGATGAAGTGGAAAAATAAAAACAAACTTCTGGTATGTACCTCTGTACAAAATTCTGGACATAATTTGTACACCATCTTACTTACAAGCAGGTAAACTGAAGGCTTTCTTGCCTTGGAAAATGAACATAGGATCCAAAGTAAAGTTAGTTTACTGAAAGACAAACTCAAGAAAAAAATATTTCATGGCACTTAAAATAAATTGTGGATCAGTAATTAAGTTATAGCAAAGCTGAAATTAATAATGATTTAAAAATCAAATGCATGTTCAAGTTTTTTTGTTTGGGTTTAGTCCTTCCTGGTTGGTGAGAGTTCACATGTGTGTAGTTTATTTATTTTGTCCATGAAGGAGAGAGAGAGAGTACCCCCAACAGGGTCTCAAAGGCGTGATCCCAGATCATGGACGTGATCCCTAGCATACTTAGTGAAGTCTCCAAATAGGAACCCAGAAATTTCTCATGTGGGTCAGCCCCACAGAGCATCACATTTTACCTCTGTTCCACTGTCCTCCATCTGACCCATTGGTTTGGTATTTTTTTAAGTATAATTACATACTAAAAATGTGTACAACCTATGTGCATAGCTTAAAGAATTTTTTTCTATATCAGATGTCTAAAAGTTTATCCAAAAATAGAATTAAAGTATAAATTTATTGTGGTACTATTTCTTGGAAATCCATATAACCAGTTATTGCACAATAAAGAACATACCCCTTACCCCAGCATGTATTTTTAATTTTACTAAACAGAAGACAAAATACCAGGTTACCCAATACAACACCCTAATATAAGACATCTGGTGACTCTTATGTATGAAGTTTTGACCAACTGATTATTAGCTTATCTTCGAAGGTCTCCAGGACTTACTGCATGCTGATAAGTATTCTAAGTATAATCTGCCTAAACATCTATTAGTATGTGTATACATATTTCTGGTTATCATTATCCAGTTTATAGTTACTGTATGTCTTGTGGTATCTTTCTGAGCAGATAAAATGGTCTTTGGTCAAACAAAACAAAACAAAACAAAAACGGCCCATGACTTGACTGCTTGCTTTTATGTCTGTTATGGAAAGAAAAATAAATTCTAGAATGAGGAGCCTGTTTCCAATGATATAGTAAAAGATAGTTACTTAAGAATGTCCTTATCACTTGATTATAACTCTTATTTTATGAATATAGTAACACAATGCTGATGATATTCTCTGTTCTAGAAACAGCTTGCAATTAACACTGAATAAACCAGGAAGCTTTGTTCAAATCAGCAAAAAAATCAAGTCATTTGCAATAGAAAGTCCGAAGAATAGCAGTCTGGAAACCACATCTTTGATTCTAACATATTTTTATCTGGGCTTCGGTTTCTTCACATATGTCAACCAATGAAAGAAGGCTGAGGCAAAAGTGAGTAAATCAAAATGAATTTATTTGGTACAACAAGACCAGTTGCTAGGACACACAACATCCAAGTTGCCCTGAATAATGTATACAAAATCTTACAAAAGTTAGGGTGAATTTAAAGGTGAAATGTCTCAAATAGGGAAGGGGGAGAATCAGAAGTCTTACGTTGATCAAAGCTATAGCAAAGGGTCTACCACTTTCTACTATTATTAAGAAGTGGCTGGCTGAGTGAGACCAGCAGTTAGCATAATGGCTATGTCACTGGACTCCCATGTAGTCGACCACGGTTCGCGTCCCAGACCCAGTGGCTTAAACTCACACCGGGCGCGTGTGCGTGCGTGCCCAAGATCCCAAGAGGAGAGTGGAGGAGAAGGGATTGTGGCGTGGACATCCCTCCTGGGGGGTGATTTCTCACTTTCTGTCTCTCTGTCTCTGCCTTTCTGGCGAGTGCACGTGCCCTATAGCAAAAACCTCTCAAGAAAAAAAAAAAAAGAAAAAGAAAAGAGAAAAAGAAGTGACTGGCTGAGTTATATGACGAGGGGAGGAGGATGACCTCATAGCCATTTTGAGGTCAGCTTAGAAGCTGATATTGTAAAATAGTTTAAAAGGACAAAGGATGGGTTTATTGCTCAATGCAAGTAAGTCATTCTCTTTGGGAGAAGGATGGGCTTGATAGTTGGATAATGGTTCATGACAAACTTTGTCCAGGAGTGTTGTTGATCTCCAATCTTCCTATGATAAGAGAGTAATTAATGAAATCTCAGGGAGGGTGCTGGAAGCAAGTGTTCTCTTCTCTGACACTCTCAATCCACAGGCTGATAATGAAATATTAAAGCAAAATTCTTCCCAATGAGAGAGAAAAGGGATCAAAGACATGTGTATATCCCAAGACTGGCCATCTTTGGAATGCCTGGGTCCAATCTCCTAAGCTACCATCCAGCTCTATTTTGGAAGAATGGGTTCTTTAAAAAAAATTTTTTTTGTATATATAAAATGAGGAAATTGAATTAGAAAATCTCTAGTAATCAGGCTAGCTCCATGTCTGGAGGTTAATGCAGCAGGATCCCACATGACCAACTATACAGTTCAAGTCTATATTCAATGGCTTGAGAAAAACACTGGATGTGTGTGTGGGTGCCCAAAATCCTGAAGGGAGAAAGAAATGGAGGACGAGGATTTGCCATTTGACCATTCCCTGTGGGGGTGCTTTCTCCATTCCCTCTCACTGGCAAGTCCATGCACCTTTAAAAAAAAAAAAAAAGGAAAGGAAGAAATCTAATAATTGATTCTATTTTTAATATTCCATGAGCTTTTGGTGACTTTGGAAAGTACATAAAAACCATTTCACTTAATGAATTAATCATGATCTTTATTAATCATAAAGACTTAATTTGCCTTAATGTCATCATCTTCACATCTTTTTTTTTTTTTTTGAGAGGTTTTTTTTTTTGCTATAGGGTAGTTTTTTTTGCTATAGGGTAGTTGTGAAGAAGGTGAGAAATCACCCCCCAGGGGGGATGGCCACGCCCCAATCCCTTCTCCTCCATTCTCCTCTCAGGATCTTGGGCACACATGCACATGCGCCCGGCGTGAGTTTAAGCCACCAGGTCCGGGACTTGAACCACGGTCGACTATGTGGGAGTCCAGCAACATAGCCATTACACCAACTGCTGGTCCCATCATCTTCACATCTTCAGACATGAAAGACACACAGATACTTAATTGGTACTTCTTTCTATCTTTCATTAGGGCATGAGATCTTTAAGCTGCAAAAACACGTTTTCATTGTTATCCTCCTGGCCTCCAAATTGTCCAGACTGAGAGAATAATCAATCAGCTTGTTGCCGAAGGGAAGTTGGGGCATTTGTACATATATCATACAGAGTCCAGCTGAGCTGGGCCAATGCCCTTCATCTACATCTCACTCAAACTTAAGAAGCACATATAACCTGATGAAGTAGTGTATGCAGGATTTCCATATTCGCTCACATTCTTGCTTTCCTCTTTATCCATTTTCCCCCTCCCCACTTCCCTGCTCAAGGCCTTGATGGACTCAAGCAATCTCCAAGACTAAATAACCACAGGTTGAATCATAGCATCAAGACCCTGTTGAGGGTACTATCCCCTGTCTCTATCTCCAATATAAATTTAAAAAAAAAATAACCAACCAAATATTAGTTGATCATCTGAATATTATACCTAATTCTGTGCAATGACATTCTAAACAAACTGTAAAGGCAGCCATGGCCACCCCCTAGGAAAATACCAACATGGCTTGAATGAAGGGTTAGCTAGAGGTGAGTGCCAGGTAAAATTGGAAGCTATAGAGTCCTTGGGGCCTGACTCTAGAAGACTACGGCTAGCAGAGTAAGCAGACTGTGCTTGACTTAGTTGGCAAAAGGAAGCCATTAACGGTTTTTGAGCAAAGGAAAGACAGTATTAATGCTGTGCTTTAGAGAGATGAAACTGTCCAGAGCATGTGTCGAATGGATTATTTAACCAGACAAAAGGAAATGAGGCCAGGCCACGTGGTATGGTAGTTAAAGTGTTGAATTCCCACATGGCTGACCACAGTTCAAGTC